CTTAGTACACACAAATGGGTGTCATTCGTGTTCTGCGTATTTCTTTTCTTTGAAATGCATTTAGCTGAATAACGATCTCAAATACTTTCTAGAGATGATAAAGTATGTGTAAGAATCACTTAATAATTTTTATATAATTGTAAAAATAATGAAAATTAACTTCACGAACGACCCATTGTGTTTAGTAATAAAGAGCCGGAAAATCATCGTGTGCTCTAAAGATTAGTTACATATTATTGGTTGTTTGACAATTTATCAATATTTCAAATTTATTTGATATTTTTAATGTAGATTTACTTATGTTTTTAAATATATGGATAATACATAAATTTATTAACGTTTTTTTAAAAATGTTAGAAGAAATAAAAAAAATGTGTGTAAATTTTTTATCAGTAAAGAAAACTATTACGAAAGACTGAGCTTTACATTTTATTGCTAGTATATAAAAATCGTCCACTATTCCCGGGTTAACGAGTTTGATTTTTCTACCTCTCTTTGGCATGTTTCAAACAGATTATTTTTCCGTGATCGCAGATATCTACGTTACGCAAGGATTTATAATGACGATATAAAGTATCGGATTATTTTTATTAAAACGAGACGCTCCATTAAAATCGTGCAATACATGCAATCGATGATCAAATACATCAAATGCATCAACCCACGAATCAGGCCGATAAAATCGGGAGAAGCAAGTCGCGGGAGCGCGCGTATCAGTATACCGCGGTATTCCGCCGTCGATTTAATTACCGATTAATCTAGACTTCTTTTGTTCCCTTTGAATAATGTCTACGTTCGCCCGACCAGAGATCGCTCGTGTATCACCGCGCTTGTTTTAATAACGACGATAAATCTCGAGTCCCACAGCCACGCCGACGGAATATTCGAGACTATGCGCTATTGCCTTCTTTTTTTGCCGTCCAGATTATTGGACTTTCTCGTAGTCTCGATGTCACGTCGATAGGACATTCTCGATTGTGTTCGACGGCACTGCTAGTGACGAATCGAAAAAAGAAAAGTTTGCATGATTTAATTTCTCGAATAAAAAGAATTAGCTATATAAAAGAAGTCTTAACCTTTATAAGTACGTTTTTCTTAAAGAATAGACTTAATTTCTTAAATTAAGATTATGAGTTAAATCTTAAATTAAGATTACGACATTACGACAATTGTTACATCATTAGCCCAACCCACTAATGACAAGATGAATGTTCAGATATTCAAGAAAACAGGATTGGATCCGACCCGTTGCTTTGTATTAATTCATTTAATCAATGTACAAGATGTGTAATAGAAGTGAAATAATATAATAAGAAACATCTTCCTCTGTTAAACAATGTATGCAAAATAGTGTAAAATAGATGAGACCGTGAATCGTATCCGACAGTATTATTAGGAAGTTAATAATGGAATAGTAATCGCTTCGAGAATTTAAGGTATATATCTACATAAACGCACAGATATATAATTGCATAATAAATATATTCTACCATATATTTCTATATTTTCATAAACATCTTCCGTTCTGGATCTCAAGAACTTCAAAGAGACTAGATAGTCTGCCTGTATTTCATGTATTCGTAATATTAATTGTTTTGAATTTGCTTGTTCAGTTAAAATTAACTTATTCTTGTATTTAGGTAACACGGCTTCAAATCAGCTGCTTAGTTGTCGCCCCGCCTATTGTTGTATAATTGATACTCGATATAAAATATATTACTGTATTTTTATCTGTTTATTTTATATTCAATGTTAACAGTTGCACTCAATAAAGTTATTATTATTATTATTATTATTATTAAACTGAAGATTGGCACAATACTCGCCTTATTACTTATAATGTTATTAAAACACGTTCTAAATCCGATGTAATAGTGGATTCATCTCATGTTTTTGTAGTTATGAATGGATAACTTTTTCGATACACCGGAATAGTAACAAATCAGAAGCATCATCTATTCCCGGGCGTTCCTCGACTAAGCTAATACACGGTGAGGCACCTCGCGGAATAGCCAATGGGAAAATGGTAACTGGGTATAGACCGGAAATGACTACCAGCCGATAACCGGATATCTAATATCCGACCGTTTGGCCGGCCGAGTGCCGAAAAATATGAGAATCGGATAAGCACTGTCCGGTAACCATATTCATCGAATTGCACCTTTTGCTCTGGCAATGCTGCACTCGCAAAAATTTCAGTTCATCCTTAGATGTCCGCTGAGACTGAATGTTCCATTAGGAAGGCTCAACAGGGATATATAAGGAAACTCAAGTTGAAGAGAAGAATCGATATCAGTTACTTTTTCCAGAAGGCAAAGTAGCACAGAGAAAAAAAATTTACTGATATAGAAAATATTCCGCTATCGTAGTAAATTTCGATAATTATTATATGGACAACCAAAAGCTTTGTTAAGAAGACTAATTATATTCAGTTTATATACATATAGAGTTTATATAAGACTAATTATACTCGTATTTAGTTTATATATATATTTGAATATATTTGTATATTGTAATTATTACTGGAGTATTTTACATTCTTCGATCATATTATTTAAGAAAATAAAATAAACGCGAACCTTTTGCTATTTTATTAAGTTTTGTATAGTTAAGATAAATTCACATATTTCGAATTATTAATTTTAAAGTATATAGAGACGTAGAAAATCACGCGATGAATAAATTATTCAATGTTTTGCAGCAATATTTTCTATGTATATCAATTTCCATGTAGAAGCTACAATAATGATTCAAATTTAATTGCTTCAAACATTTGCGATTATTAGCTACTTTAGTGCTTTAATGCTGCGCACACATGTTTACGAATGTAATCAGTAAAATACGAATGGTGGAGCTATTTTGAAATTTTCATTCATATTAGTAACATTTTAAAAATAGATTGTACGATATTTCGACGTTAACATAACGAAAGAAAGGACGAGAAAGAGAATGAATAATCAAAAAGAATTATCTGGCGCTCTCGCGGTTGGCTTAAAATGCAGATATTCTTTAATTCCTCTTCACTCGCCACCCGTTTGTTTGTTTAAAAATTCTATAACGAAATAGGAAATGTACATTATAATATCATTCATATATAAATTATGTACTCAAACAGGTTTCTGCTAAAAGTTAAGTAATATTAAAAAATATTTATAAAAATCGTTTTTAAAAAATATACATATATCTTGTATAAAAGGACTATTTTTGCAACTAGAATGGATGTCTGTTACATACTTAACGTTCTTAATTTTTATCAAAAATATAATAAATAGAACCTCCGCGATAGGAGATAATTCGTAAACAATTAAAATACTAAAGTATTTACCAACAAAGTTGCAAACGTTTCAACTCTGGATTTGAGTCCTCTTCAGTGCAGAAGTCAAGTATAAACTAAAATTTTACATATTATAAATATATTATTTACGTATTAACAGTTACAGAGGTTTATAGACAGTTTATTCATGTTTGATTTATTCTTAGAATCACAAAACTAATTTTATTTTGTAAATAGATATATTTTTGAGATTATTAAATTTGTTTAATTATTTGTGTGATTTGGAAGCATAATAACTATAATTAGATTTAAACCAAAGTTATCTTTCTAAGAATAGCATTAGAGTTGAATTTCGAAAAAATATCAGTCTCATTCTTTATTTATTCATTAACTTTTACCTATTATTAATAAGTATTTCAATAGAGCAGTATTTAAATGAGGAGAAAAGAGAATGTCGGTCATTGCTAAAACACTATCACTGATACAGTATCGATGATAATTAGTAATAATTGCGTACCGCTCGCGTAATCGAGCGTCCATTAGCGCCATTACGCCCATCGTCGCGTTACCACCCTTCGCTCCGCATATTCTCACTTCCGCTTCATTAACTTTATTATCATCACGTCGTAATGTATTATTATATATTACACGATGCTTTACGTGTCCGGATAATACGCGGAACGAGATAAATAAGTCACGTCGGGATACGTGCACGTAAGACATCTCGGATTTTAAGACCGTGTTAGTGGGTGTCCGCAGTCAGGTCTCACATATCAGCTAAAAGACACCATCCTGACAAATGAGGGTCATCAATGGCAACTTTACGCTTCCCGAGAGCCGCTATTATCGCATACGTCCATATTCCCATCCCTAATTTGCACCGTTACAACGAAGGATCTCTGAGAGTTCCGTGTCTTTACATGCCTCGAATTCCTATTTGCCAGAAAATTTTTTACATATGGATCAAAAATATTACATGTAATGTTGGAAATATCTGGATTTTTTTGTTTAAATATATATATTTGCATATACATATAAAAAAAATTATTTTTGGATTTTCTAATTGAAGCTGGACATACAGAATGATATCTGGTAACTTTATGTTTCCCGAGAGCCATTATTATCGTACATGAATATCTATATCACCATTCGTGCTTTATACCATTACATTGCAACGAAAGATCTCTGAGAGGTATAGGTTCTGAGTTTTCACATTTTTTTAACTCCTATTTATCAGAAAATTGTTTGTACCTGGACCAGAAATGTAATATTGGAAATACCCGGATTTTTGCTTTAACCTCTGCATATACTCGTACACATATGTAACAAGATTATTTTAGGATTTTTTAATTAAAACTGAATGTACAGAATTTGCAATAAATTATTTGCATTTAATATTAATGAATGGCAGGAAATAAAATATATTTATGAAAAGCATGAAATAAAAGCATTCAATTAATATTTAACTATTCAGGCTGAATATTTGTAACAAATTTATATCATACAATTTAATCGAATTTTAATGTTTAACGTCATTATATAATTGCAAACTTGATTTCGGAAATAATGGTTTTTTTATATCATATCTGCGTTATTTGCTTGCATTGTTTTATTTAAATAAAAAATAAGAAAATCTAAGAGAATCTATCTAAAAAATTCAAATAAGGCACAAAGTTTAGAGACCACATATTATTTTCATTCTGATAACCTGTTTTTTTTATTTAAGGTTTCTTGGATGAGGAGCAGGGACCTCCATATTCTTACTTCGGGAAATTTTTCGTTCAGCTCAGATGCGCGATTCGGACCTCAGCACACCCCAGGCAGCGACGCCTGGACTCTCAGGCTGGATAACGCCAGGAAGACGGATTCTGGCAAGTACGAGTGCCAGGTCAATACGGAACCGAAGATCATGTATGCAGTGCAGCTCTCTGTGCGAGGTGATTGTCGTTCCACTTTACATTTCGTCCTTCACGTCTACTTCCCCGTATGACGATTTACGGTAGAAAGATTTTTGTTTTCATACAAATAAAAATCACAATTTTATTTAAACTTTAAGAAAATACGATTAAATGTTTCTATAATAACGTAATTATGTAAATTCATAAAAGTATAGCATATTAAAGGTACATCTGACATATTATCATTTACTATAGTTGTAACAACGATACATTGCAGAAAACGAAGTTTTCCAGGAAATAAATTTAAATGTTTTAAATCATTAAAATTCTCTACTATTAATTTTAAAATGTAATTTTGGTGTAATAATTGATTGTAAAGAAATAAAAAAATGTTCTTTCTGAAATATATTCCTTCTACTTTTCTTTATGTTCCTGTGTTTTTGTAAACAACTAAAAAATGACAGTTTTTGAATTATATCTATCATTGTAGCAAATGAATGACATATAATTGACATATATAATTCATCTTGAAAGAACGAAATGACTTGTCTCTTATAAACATACTGCAACTAAAAAATAATACAAATAAGTCGATAAAATAATTTTATCATATTAGAATTCACGATTGAGTTATTATTTTTTTGCTTTATTATACTAGCACAATAATATTTCATCATTAAAAACTTTTATGTTTCTAGATCCAGACAAACCAGAGGGCTATGACGAGCCGCATTCTCAGCAGACACGTATAAGTAAGTATATATATATATCCCGTGGACGTGACGCGTATTTCTGGCTTGCGCGTTTGTGACATATATGAGCGTGACGCTCCTTTAGTTCCAGCCCACGCCGATCAAATCAGTCGTATATTTAAAGACACGACTGAAATGTGAATAGACCGTCAGTATAATAGCGATAAAAATTTCAAAAGGTAAATTAAACTTTGTGAACTATATAGAGCATCGTGCGCATTCAGGCGTTTCACTATAATAGCTTCACTTCTGTAGCAAACGAAACGATAGAAATACGATTTGATTGAAAGTATTGTAACGTAGAAATAACTAAAGTTTTTTTGATTTTCATAGAATATACATTATTATAATAAAAAATATAAATTATTTCTCAAAGTATTACATACACAGTCGTTCTAAATATAATGATAATTTTTAAAGGGAACAAACTCTTCGTTTTAATTGTATTTGCTAAAATTTGTCAAATTGCATACATTTTGCTTTAAAAGATTTGCATTGCTATTTAAATCTTTCACATTTTTGAATAATCGAAATTAATTATCGAAATTTATATGGCTGCAGTACGTGCATATTTGCATTTTGTTGTGATTCTAATTTCACTGGCGCTAAACTTATTTCACTGTCTGTGATATCAGCGATAATATTTTGCGCAGACTTGCATAATTAATTTCCCGCGTAATCAGCATTAGCCGAATCGGGTGTGCGCGGTGTATATAAAATGGAGCGCCTGTATCGCACAGTTCGAAATTATATTATATCATGCAAATTATTTTATGAATTCCTTGATCGGTACGAAACTCGGACAAGCGTACAATTATGCAATCAAAACTTCGTCGAAAGTTTCGCAGACCATGGATTGATGCATAAGATGCATTTTTTCCTTGTTCTTTCGAATTTATCCATTTCTGCATTCTATCGGCATGCACTCCACAGATGATGAACGTAATAAAATACGAGCGGGAACATCACCGCACAATAAAAAAAATTTACTGTATAAATTTATAAAATTCCCCCGGGTGCAAAGATTGACCTAGTTACCCACAGATTTAAAAATATAACTTTCATCTCCAACGACTGGCAATTTCCGCTTTGTTTCGCCACTCGGAAAGTAGCGGAACCGAAAGCACTGGTTGAATAGTCGTTAAGATTGCATCAGTTGGAAAAAGCGCGATTAATCAGCCGCGAGGTACAGCGAGCTAAGCTTACTGATAATTATCAAGCAAAGAAAGCGCAAGTTCTTGTAAAACAATCATTACAAATGTAAGCCATCCACTGTAAAGTATCACTGTCGCCATTAATTCTGTTTTTAGTATTTTGCTGAACAATATTTTATATACAGCGATATAAGTAATATGATTAACGCAATTAGTTATTAAAAATTTTCAAACATTCGATTTATTAGTTATTAAATCATTTTATATCTGCAAATACTTTAGAGAAGCGTAGATTAGAATACTATTTTCATTATCAATTATTTGCCTACAAACGATGATGCATAAATTTTATTAAATTGGCATATTTCTATTATTATTTTATAGATATAGATTAATAATATATCGCCATACCTTTTATGTCTACATTATTTATCTTACTTTTTTCGTAATTTACATTATTTATTTTTATGAAAATCACGAATTCGGAAGCATACATGAAATTGATCACGTCGGATGTGCTAAAATTTATATTTATCGTGCCTACATTGGGAATGTAAAATGCATGAATCAGATACAACAGTCAGTAAAGTAGACGGAAGATTAGGTTGTAGTTTCACAAGCGTAACATTACAACGTATGTTTAAAACTTGCATGATACCTGTTTACCGCTTTAGATGGTCGGTGGCAAACTTTTGGCAAGTAAACAGCGTTATTTCTATTGTTCTCTGTAACACTTTGTGAAACTCTAAGGGGTGCATTATATGAAAGTTTATTATCAGATCTGCATAGCGTACGTATGTAACTGGCAAAGTGCTTCGACCATTTCTAATTCGCACACCAATATTCGATATTTAAATCCAATAGTTTTCCGTTATGTGTGTTGTGGAGAACTTCTATCGATTATCGTAGGTTTAATATTATTTCTAATTTTATTGGAGCTATCCTTTTACGAAATACAAAATTTATTGTAAGCCAAATACAATAGATATATTAACGATGAAACCGAAAAAATAGAATTTATTTATTAATAAAATATCTCTTTCAAGATGTAGCGAATTGAGTGCCGATGTCAATAACGTATCACATCTTTCATAAATATATTAATAATCCGACACGTTCTCGTCATAATACACCGAATACCCTTTAAAAAATCATTAGAAGCCTCTTTTTATTTTTCTCATAGAACCGAGCGACATCAATCACTTAAGGATAAGTGCGACACCATCCTGGCTTTGACGCTCGTGATCCGTCGTCATCGATTCTTCTTGCGAACTTTCTTTAGCCGCTTCATAATTCTTTTTAAGTAACGTCGTTTTATTTCAGACACGTCGTCCTCTCTCTTGACGCCTTCGATGTTCCAGAGTCGACGCTTTTTCATTTACGTCGGAACGGCAGATTACGAGAAGCTGCGTTCCCTCGATATCGGGGAGCTTATTTTTGATACTGCCGCTCAAAATCATTGGCAAAAACTCACAAATGTTACAAAAGCAAGACCTATATCGTTGATAGTGTATTTCTTGATTTTATTTTGATCTTTTCATCGTTTTAGATATAAAGGTTCTTACTGTCCTCAAAATATAAAAAATTAATTTAATTATTGACATACTTTATTCTTGAAATACTTATTTTTTTACCTATTTTGTGGTACTATCAACTTAATGGCGAAGTTGCGACCGTGAATATTTCTTTTCATATCACGACGTGTTTCCGCTCAGAACACTCTCCATGCAGTTTCACTCGACTAATAAATATACTCGCGCCAAGTTTCTTCTTTCGCTTTTGTTCACAATATATGCGAAACTTAAAGATAGTCACAGATCGCTGCCAGCTATATTGTCGAAGTTTTGTAACAGATAAATAAGGGTAACAAAGAAAATAGGAGTACAACGCGTCGCGAATATGCGAATAATAATGTTACATAATGGCACAGTAAATTTTTTCTCTGTGCAATCATAGTATGTATATATATATATTCAGTAAAGATTGTAATAAAAAATAAAATTGTAAAGATTGTAAACGCTCAAAGAGATTCCCAAGATTCTCGAATCATTTTGAGATGAAAATCTTAATTAAAAAATATCGAGGCTATAATAATTTTTTAGTTATAAGCATCTAAAGTTAGTGAATCATACCGCCAAAAGTTCACGTGTTTAGGTGTAATATGTACAACGCAAAATGCCAATCATATCTGAACGTGCAAACTTTGGACTATTCACTAACTTTAATGCCATGTTTGTAATTTAAAAACTATTATAGTCTCATATTATTGCATAATATATGCGATGTATGTTTCAGAGCAATAATAATATACACATAATTTATGTATAACTAATAATAACGTTATCATTAAGTTTATTTATAACTAATAATAATGTTATCATTAAGTTTTATTTCAATATTCAATATTTTTGCAACAAATAATTAGAAAGCATACGTATTCAAATAATCCAAAAATCCGGCACATGCTCAACATATCGACATATTGAATCCGCATTTGATTATTCGCGACTCATTGGGTACTGATGAGTCATAAGAGAATTTCCACAAAATTTCTGGCAACAAAAAAGCAAACAAGATCGCGCTCAAAAAAGAAACGTTCGCAGCAAGTGAGTTTACAGTAATAACAGCATAACATAATATTTCGCTAGAGGGAACGTAGTCGTCGCCGGATTCATTTAAGTCTAATAGGATTATCTTTAATCCCGCGGTCCTGCCGCGGCTTCTTCGTATCCTTTTCTTCGTCAGCCACCGAGAGTTCAGAGTTCTAAGAGACAGGAGTTGGACCGCTAAATGAGTCTCGACCATGGTCCTCGTACTGAATAATGCATACAAGCCCCGATATTTTTATACAAAACGGAGAACTTCACTTTTGGCCATTTTTCTTTTCTACTTCGGAGATAATAATGAATTATTAATCTAATCGGAGAGAGCTTACACCACTTATTAAAATCAATTACAGAAAATATCTCTTTAAAAGTAACACAACTAAAAACTGATTTTTGAGTTGCCATGATTTAACTAAATATTACCTTATCAATCATCAAAAGTAAAATAACTTAACTTCATAAAAAAATCATAAAATCATCACAGCATAAAAAAGAGGGTTTAAAAAAATCGTCAAAATCGTCATAACTCAAAATAGTTCTTTAAGAAACGAAAATGGCAAAAATAACATTTGATCATGTTAAGAATGTATTCCTTTTTTAAATTAGTTGGATAATTAATAATTTTCTATCAAGTTTTTGAAAAATAATTTCTTCTCTCTTCTAGAGATTTTTTGAGTTGTCACTTTTGAAGTAAGAGACTGATATAATCTTAGTGTATTATAATTTTAAATAATACTAGTGCCATTGTATGCTACTTTCGATAATAAACGTTCTATAATAATCACTCAAATCCATACAACTTTCTACATTAAGTCTCCGCTTACGCTAATTATATTATCTTATGACGATATATGTATACAGGGTGTTTCCAAATTAAATCGCAAAACTTCGGGAGCGTGTAGAGGAGTAAAAAACTAAGAAAAAAAGTCCTATAGACATATGCTCGTTTTTGCTCCGTTTCAGAGAAATCGAAAAAAAATGTTTTTTTTACCTGCAAGATTAAATGGGGACCGTTTTCTAAATTTCTTGGAGAATGAATTTTCTGACTATTTAGAAAACATCCCATTACAACAACGTACTGAAATGTGGTTTCAATTAGATGGATGCCCTGCTCATTACAGCAGAGTCGCTAGAACCTGGTTAGATAGAAAATTCCCACAACGATGGATTGGACGTGGAGGAGCAGTACATTGGGCAACTCGTTCG